TAGTGGTTAGATAGTTATATACTTTACAACATGGTCCCTTACCCCCTCCCCTTTATTTCCAGTATCCACTTGGCATCGTCCATATTATTACAATACTATTGACAGTTGTGGGTGCAAGCGTGGCCAGTGCTTGCAGCAGGTGCAAGTGCCAGTCTGGACTGCGGTGTACAGAAGCAAAGAATTTTCAGTAACCACCAGAAATTCACCCAATGTCAGCAACTGGCACTTCCACCATGATCTTGCACCCCTGCTCACCTGCTCTATCATCACACTGTGGCCGACACCCACCATGTTCCACACATGCCTCTTGGTGGTCAGCCCATGTCATAGTGACCAGTTGTTTGGTTGTTCAGTTGTTTCAGCTGTTCTGCAGTTCAGTCTATTTGCATATTAGCCTTTTATTATATACTATATTCCTGGCATAAAATAGAGGTATAATTTTTAAAAATTGAACTTTTGAACATTACTTAAAATATTGAAGTTTTTAAAATTCCTGAAATGAAGGGAAGAATGTAAGATACTGATTTTATTCCCCTGTGGATTATTATAAACTATTTATTTTATCTCTTTAGCTTTGTTTCTGTTCTCTAAAAATGAATTATTTTTCCAGAAGTTTTTCTTGAGGTCTGTAGTTGAGAAAATATGCCAGAAAACTAGTTTCTTGCCCTTAATCTCTTTCTACAGCTGATGTCATTGCTTCATTATTTTTTAGTAGAAGTCATAGAAGTGCTTTCTTTTTCAAAGCAATTACATAACTTCCCTAATAACAATCTAAAATAAACACTAATTTTTATTATTTGACTTTTGCTTTTTAAATAAATTACCATAACATTTTGGACACAAATTTATTGATCAAATTTTGATAGGAATCATTGCTTAAGGCTATTACATGAGTTTCTTTATTTTTCCACCTTTATGTCATACATTTTTACCCCAGGTTCATTCTTCATGTGTGCTATGACCTTTTGCATACACCTTTAAGTGTTTTAAAGAAGCTGCTCTATGAATATGAAAAGGCAGCCGCTGCAAAGGAAAGCTTAACTCACAGCAGAGAACAACAAACAACTGAGAATCCATGCTTTCAAAAGCAAAGAAAGAGGTGGAGGGGATGTGGAGGGATGCACTGTTTAAATTTCAGTGGAATTTATTATTTGCTTTTCTTCATCTTCCCATGTGTCCCTTGATAGCATCTACATCTGTCTTTCATTTGTGGAAGCACAGGGGTCCTCAGTATTCAACCCCACTTTGCAACCCCACCTTCTGATTCAGTGTTTTAAGAATATATCTCAAAAGGTCTGAATGACTCAACAAATATCTATCATTCTTTTCTTTTCTCTCAAAACATGGATTATTTCCCCAATTATTAGTTAAACCCTTATGTAATATTACCCCAGGACTATATAAACAGCTTTTCTATATTTTATATTCCGTGTGTGTATGTGTGTGTGTGTGTGTGTGTGTGTGTGTGTGTGTATAAGGGGCAGGGGCTTAAATATTAAGGCACCAGAATAGCCATCTGTCACACTTTGGTGATTTATTTGATCTGTGTTTATTTTCTTTAAGTTAAGAAATCATTTTTTTAATAATTAATTTTAATACGTAAGTGCCTTTTCTTTCTGCCTGGGTGAGCCTCCGTCATCCCTGCAGGCTTACTAGGAGATGGAACTCCAATCCTAGTCAGGAGGCAAGGAACACAGCTGACACTTGAATCCTCTCTTGTGAAACTTCTATTATGGTTATTTATATCTAGATATGATGTTGGGTCCTTGTGTCCATGCTCCTTTAAGGCAATGGCTGTGTTTTTCTCTCTCCTTTCTCCTCTGAGGGGAAGTGATGGGACACAGTGATCAAGGGCAAGGGTTTTCAATGTAGGTAGACATGGGTTTGCAGCACAGGGGCTTGTCTTCACACACAATAACCTCTCTTAGGCTTGATAGCTGGCAAATAGTTATAAGAAATAAGTGAAGTGATCCGAAGTATCTGTGACGTTAGGTGTTCAATGAATTAGTATTGTTATCTTCCTGTCTCTGATGGCACCTGTGCATAGGCTAGCACCTAACAGATATGAAGCAAACTTCTCTTGAGTGAATAAATGGATGAAATAATAGAATTTTAATCAATTATATAACCTTAACAAATACAATTTATAGTTAATGCATTACTTCTTTTATTTGATTTCAGATATCCTAATATTTGGTTTGACTTACATTGCATTTATGCCCACGGTTAAACGATAGTCTCTGAATTTTACCCGAAATCACCCATGATTTCTTCCCTGATGTCTTCTGCACTGGTCCTGGGTGGCTTTAGGCTCTAGCGCACTTGATGATGAACTTGGCATGCTTCCAAGTGAAGCCTCCTAATTTTAGAGTCAAAACGCTAGGGGAACAAACCACAGATGTGCATTGAAATATGCACAGTATGAGTACAGAGCCTTTTCTAAGAGTTATAATAAGAAAGGTCTTTAACCTAAAGATGTTATTTGAAACAGCATATTTCCTTTTTTTTTTTCTTTGAATAATCCAAGAATACTACCTTGCTTTTCCCACATAGCATTGGGTTTTGAGAAACTAAAAATATTTTATCAAAACATTTGTTCTCCAAGAGTAGTCTGCAGCTCTTATATTTTTATAGGTCATAATAGATTTTAAATATTATATTCAATTCAAAAGAAGCTTTTCTTTCTATATTACATAACACAAAGCATTTTTGCACTTTATAATTCAATTACTCTAATAATAACTCTTATAAAATCTCTTTTTTTTCCCTCAAAGGAGGTCAAAAAGTAAATAAAAGATAATACAATAAAATAAAAGGAGATTAGAATCTTCACTGTTAAGAGTCCAAACTTTTTTAGGGACTTGCTCTTCATCTTTTGTTTGCCTAGAATATCCACCATTCATCTCTCCATGTGGAAGTTGGGCCATTTGTTAATTCAATATGTATTTGCTGAGATCTACTTATATAAGGAACTAATTATATTTGTAGTTTTAGAGGGAGATGCTCATAGAATGTTTAGCTTTACCTGCAGTTGAATGTGAGCATCCCTGCCTTTCACTCTCAGAATATTTTACACCTCACAGAATAGCTTCCTTGCCTACGTAGTGTACTGGTTAACTATGAGCTTGTCTCTTACCTCCTGCGATACTAAATGTGTTGCAAGAAGCCTTCATTGTTGTAACCCTGTAGAGCCTAACTCAGCCCTGGTCCCTATTTGTGTCAAGAATCTATCGAGTTTAACAGAGTGTCTACGCACCCCTATGGAGATCAGTAGAACCAGAGTCCAAAAGCCCTGGTTCCCAGACTCTACTAACCAAAGACATTTGCTTCTAACTCTCCAGGAATTCCACATGTGCTGACATAGAGTGTCCCAGGCACCATGGACCCATCTCTCATGCAGACGGGCTTGCTTTTAGAAAAGCCTCATCTAGAAAGTAGGAGAGACATGCTTGAGACCCTATATTTCACTCTTACCCAGCCATTCCCAGTACAGTTGGGAAGCAGATAGGAAAGTTGACTTAATTTAACTGACAATGTTGTTAACTTTTATTGAGCATATACTGCAAAACCAATTGAAAGCTCAGTTATTTTAATTTTCAAAATGGAAACATTTTACTTGAAATACCATCATTAGCTAAGTTGTCTAATCTGACTTCAGGCCCTGCCCATACTTTGGATGATAAAGAGATTGGCCTCCATTTTTTTTCAGTTGCCTTGGGTCTAAATATTAGCTAAGCTATGCATGTTACCTTAGGAACATCTGATGCACCTATGTTTAGAGGAATCATCACTCCAGATGAAATACACGTGTCTCATCACCCATTTCCTAATATTTTGGGGGGAAACTTCTGAAATGTATGATTAAAAATAAGCAAAAACTTAAATGAATCAGCAGGGAAGAGATAGAAGAAGTAAGCCAGATGGCTTCTCAGATCTCTTACTTTGTACTCCAGGCAATTGTTTCTTCAGTTTTTCTTTTCTTTTCCTTTCTTTTATTTCCTTTTCCTTTCTTTTATTTCCTTTCTTTTCTTTTCTTTTCCTTTCTTTTCATGTCTTTCCTTTCCTCTTCTCTTCTTTTTCTTTTTTTTTTTTGTATTATTTAAAGTATTACATATGTCTCCTTTTTCCACAGTTCACCTCTCCCCAGCCGCTCCCACCCCCCAGGACAAGCCCCCACTGCCCCAGAGTCCATGTCCATTGGTTATGCTAATATGCATGCATGCAAGTCTTTGGTTGATCTCTTACACTTCTCCTCCTCCCACATTCACACCACCCTCCCCGGCCTTCCTCTGAGGTTTGATGGTCTGTTCAGTGATTCTCTGTCCCTGGATCTATTTTTGTTCATCAGTTTATGTTGTTCATTATATTTCACAAATAAGTGAGATCATGTGATATTTATCTTTCTCTGACTGACTTATTTTGCTTAGCATAATGCTCTCCAGGTCTATCCATACTGTTGCAAATGGTAAAAGTACCTACTTTTTTATAGCAGTAGAGTATTCCATTGTGTAGATTTGTCACAGTTTTTTAATCCACTCATCTGCTGATGGTCTGTTTCCAAATCTTAGCTATTGGAAATTGTGCTTCTATGAACATAGGGGTGCATATGTCCTTTCTAATTGGTATTTCTGATTTCTTGGAACATATTCTTTGTACTTTTGATGTCAGTCTTATATTATTGCTGTTTCCTTAAGTGAAATGAGAATTTGGACAAGGAAGTATGAAATGGGTGAAAATTGAACACCTTTCTGACAGGGCCTGTCTTAGTCTTTTGACAGACATAGGATTGTGAGAACCAAGCAAGCAACAATTGACTACGTTTTTTATGCCATACATTTTATCTTGGTAAGAAGCAATAAATGTCCAAAGCTGGTATTTAAAGAGTAATAGTAATATTGACACTAGCTGTCAGAGGTAGTATCTAACCTATGTTTATGAGCTTACCTAAAATCATTTCATGGTCGCTTTAAGTCCATTTTCTTTTTAAATTCTTTTTACAGGTAAAGATAAGATTAAAGTGTCTGAGGATGACTTGAAGAAACTCCCTCTAATTAAATGGTGTATTTTGGAAACAATTCGTTTAAGAGCCCCGGGTGCCATTACTAGAAAAGTGATGAAACCAGTTAAAATTTTGGTAAGCTTTGGTTTGACTTTAAAATAATCTCTCTAAGGGAAAAATGTATATATCTTTTCCATATACTAGTAGATAATTCCTTAAATTCCAGTAGCATGGAATGACCTAGTAATAGATCACTAACAAGAGTTGTACAGCAACATTTTGTCAATGTAGGTATTTTTCCATTGGTGAAGATTTTAGCTACAATATAATGTTTTAATAATCATTTTGGCTATGTAATTATGTGTTAAAATTAGTATAATCCTATTTCAATCAAGCAGGTGGATTAGATAATATTTTCACTGCTGAGCAGCCATAGGTTGAGGAATTCATGTGCAAGCGAAGTTCCAACTAGAGACAGTTTCAGACCACAGATCACAGATATGGGAACAGATAATTGATTTTAGCAATCAGCATCCGAGTGAGGGAGAGAGAGATCCTTTTTATGGGCAGAGGAGGAGAAAATTCTGAAGTGCACCATGAAAGATACGTGTACATGGCAGAATTTCAGGTCAATATTTGCTGAGTCAATCAAGCAGAACAAAATATTGTTTCAGAATGATTTGACTTAGAGCCTGCAAGTTCACATTAAGTCAGACCTCCACTCTTGTTGGCTGTTTTTACACACAGCATGAGAGTGCCTGGATTCAAACCAAGAACATTTTGCAGTGGTACAACACAAAAAAAACAAAATGAAACAAAAAAACAACACTCAAATTTTATAAAGGTTGCAACTTGCTAAATTCAGAAGAAATGTTGTTTGTTTGGCTGATCTTACATAAATTACAGGATTTAGTTTTAGTGTGATTTTAAAGTTTTTGCTTTTAAATAATCAAATTCTTAATTACTTTAAGAGTATAAAAGAATATGCTTTCAGAGGAAATAGTCAAACAACTTGGTGCAATTAAGTAGAACAATGTGTTTATTTGTCTGATTAGTACTATAATTTTATTGCACTTTTATTTACATTATACGTGTTTATAACATAAATATACAAAAATAAATATATACATATATTATAAATATTTACATTTTACAGTATGAGGCAAAAGTAGGTTTACAGTTCTACGTATGTGAAACAGTTTATTCTTGTACTATTATATATTAACTATTATTTTCTTTATAAAAACTATAAATTTACTTTTGCACACTCATATTATTTATTTTATAGCTTCGTTTATATTCTGGCTAGGAGATAATTATTTGAATTACACAATCATTTATCTGCCAGCAGGCATCTTCATTTTTATTGTATTTCACAGGATCTATACATGTTTTGTTAGATTTATACCTAAATATTTCAGTTATTTTTAAGATTTTATAAGTGGTATATTTTCAAGTTTTAAGTCTAAATTTTACATTACTTGTTTGTAGAAATACAGCTGATTTTTTGTATGTTGACCTTGTATCTGCAACTTTGCTAACCTCACTTATTGGTCATAGGAGTATTTTTGTAGACTCATTAGGAGCTTCTGTGTAGATAATATCTTAATTTCTGCCTTCCTACCTGCATTCTTGCCTTATTGCATTGGCTCTGTCTTCCAGCACTGTGGTGAATTACAATGGTGACAGCAGCTATTCTTGCCTTGTTTCTGATTTTTATGGGAAAACATTTAGTCTTTCCTTGTTAAGTATAATGTTGACTGTAGATTTTTGTAGATACCTAGAATAAACCTCATTTGATCATGATGTATATAATTTTTTATACATTGTTAGTGTCTTTTGTTAACATTTTATTGAGGATTTTTGCATCCAGGCTCATGAGAGTTATTGGTCTGTAATTTGCTTCACTTTTTATTTTGTACTGTTTTGTCTGGTTTTTGTTCCAAGACAGTCTCTTCAAAGCTGTTTTATGCTTGTCCTGTACCCTTTTCATAAGCACTCACATTCCTTTCTTTCATCCACTCTTCTTTCTTCCCATTTTTTTCCTCCTTCCCATCACATGTATTTCCTTATGAAAGAGAAAAGGTGAGCAGAATAGCTCTCTTCTTTTCTTCCTTAATTCCTTTATTTTTCTCTCATTTGCTCTTTCTGTCTCATTCTTCAGGTTTTTTGAGGAATGTAATTGCTCTCCCTTAAAGATTGCATTTCAGGCTCTGGCCAGGTAGCTCAGTTGGTTAGAGTGTTGTCCCTATATACAAAGGTTGTGTGTTCAATCCCTGGTCAGGACGCATACAAGAAATAACCAATGAATGAATAAATAAGAACAACAAAGCCATGTCTCTCTCTTTCTCAAATCAATTAAAAAAAAATAAGTTCCCATCTTCTCTGTACTAACCATGCCCATGAATGAATCAAGAAGAATAAACCCATAAGGATTCTTATATCTAAGTTCTTACACAATTTTTTTTCCTGCTGCTTTTGGATTTCTTCTCTCTCCTGTGAGTTTCAGTGTGGTTTATGTAGTTTCAACACATTTCACCTTGTGCTTCTTTAACCAGTCGCTCTGCCTGCCACATATATGGCAGCTCTGCACCCCTCTTCTCAGACATAACACCTGGCTGTGCTATTTCATTAGCTAAGTATCTGAGATCATCACAGGGTGATTGTATAATCAGAAGTGTTTGATTTGTTTCATAAATAGATTTCCTTCCCAGACACAAACCAAAAACTTTTAGGCACACACAACTTTCTAACCAATATAACTCACCTCCTCTGAGATCATGTTCCTTCTGGCTCCTGCTATCCTGCCTTTGGAGATTCTCATGCTGTTCATTTATCTTTATTTGATTAATTACACTTACACCCAATACTACTTCCTTCACATAAACGCTACTTTGTCCCTTGGGATTCTGTGCTCATCCTCTTTCTTTTCCTTTAGCTTCTCCTATGCCACCACCTGAAGCTTGTCTCCTGGGCCCCTTGGTCCCTTCCAGCTGGAGGAGTTTTCCACTGGGTAGATGTTAGCTCCTGCTTATTTCACTTTTCTTTTCTTTCTTTTTTTTAAAATATATTTTATTGATTTTTTACAGAGAGGAAGAGAGAGGGAGAGAGAGTTAGAAACATTGATGAAAGAGATTCATTGATCAGCTGCCTCTTGCACACCTGCTACCAGGGATGTGCCCACAACCAAGGTACATGCCCTTGATCAGAATCGAACCTGGGACCTTTCAATCCGCAGGCCGACGCTCTATCCACTAAGCCAAACCAGTTTCGGCTTCACTTTACTTTTCATTTCTTTGAATATGTCTCTTTTCTTGTATTTGATGTTCTCTTTTCTTGTATTTTTATTTTACGTAAGCATGCTGACACAAATGTATTTGTTTTTCAGCATAAAATTTCTTCTCTCTTGATCAGCAACTCAGTCTGCTGGTCAAGCTTCAACATTGATACTGATATGGTCACTGTATATTCCACTACCCCTTTCACCCCCTCAACTCCTTTTTTGCCCTTAAATGGTTAGCTTTTAACATCATATCCTTGTCAGATTGTTGGGGCTGTTAACATCACATAGTTCTTAAAATTTACTTATTTACTTCTTTACTTCTTTACTTATTTTACTTATTTCAACAACGTTACCAAAAGAAACATCCATGCTCAAACACATGCCTATACATATACACTTATACATACACAACTCCACAACCCCATGACTGTACTGTAACAACTGTCCAACATTCTCTTTGTATTACATCAGTAAATAAATCTAGTTCTTGTCATAGTGTAAATGTCATTAAAAAAAGTTGTTAACATTTTTTACTTTTCATGCATTTAGGGAGTTTTCATATTTATTTTCATTGTCACATAATCATCATAGAGTTAATACCTTATTGAATATTTAATTATTTCTTGGTTCTTGAAAATTTAGATTGCTTTCCTTTGTGTCTTTTCTTTCTTTTTTTAATGTGGTAATTACTTGCATCTTTGTATAGAGTACATTTTCTTTTCTTTCTTTTTTTAAATCCTTATTCAAGGATATGTTTATTGATTTGAGAGAGAGAGAGAGAGAGAGAGAGAGAGAGAGAGAGAGAGAGAAAGAGAAGGATAAGGGTAAAGAGAGAGAGAGAGAATATCAATATGAGAGAAAAACATCCATCAGTTGCTTCCCATACCTTCTCTGACCGGGGATTGAACCTGCAACCTTGGTATGTACCCTGACCAGGAATCAAACCTTCAACCTTTTGGTGCAATGGAGGACACTCCAACAATGGAGCCACCTGGCCAGGGCCATTTTCTTTTTATAACAATTATGCTTGAATTATGTGTTACTAGTGGATTACTGGTCCAAGGGTATAAATACACTTATGACTCATGATATACGACCCTCTTATAAAGTCTAACATCTATGGGATAAAATATTTTAATTAGACATAATGGATATCTAAAACAAATCAAGAACTTATTTTAAATCATTATTAGTCTCATATCTCCATTTCCTTACACTCACTCTTCTAGAGGACATGAGGCTACTTTACTACCTGTTCAGTTTCCATCCAGACCCCAGTAGCTGTGATGGTGTCTCAGTGGTGGGGCAGCCCAGAGACCTGTGCTCAGGCTGCATCTTCCCAGAATGTCACCAACCTTCCTTTCATTATTTCCAACAACATGGTCTTTACAGGTGTAAAAGGTGCAGTGTTTCCTGCACTCACTGTTCTTTTGTAAACGTGGCCTTCCCCTTAGGAAGCCCAGAAGCACCTGGATTTCTCCCTGGGGAGATGAGCCTTTAACTTTAATAACTTGCAGAGTTTTCATTATGTAAGTAATACGTGGTAATTAGAAAAAAAACAAGAGACTACAAAAAGAAGATGAAAGAAGAAGTAAAAAATTGCTAATAATCTCATGACAAAGATTACCCCTGTGGTATTATAATTACCTTTGGTATTACAATTTCAGATTTTCTTTTCCTGTAGTGTGTGCATTTTTAAAAATTCAATTGGGGTCTTACTGTGTTAATTTTTTTATAGTCTGCTTTTATTTTACTTAATAATAGATCACAAATAATTTTCTATATCAATAAAGGACATCTATACCATTTGAATTGCAGCATAATAATCTAATATACTGACAGAGTCTAAGTTTTTTAATCAGTTTCCTATTCTCAATTATGTGTATGACTTTCATTTTTTTCACTATGCCTTTGCTGAATATACCAACTCGTTCCTAAGAATTTGGATTAAAGAAAACATTTCATAGGAAACTATCTGTATTGAGCAGTGACAGAGGTTCATTCATATTTTCCCTCCTGTTGGACAGCTGGTCAGGGTGTCTTGCTATGAATGCTAGAAGTATTCTCCCACTGCTCTTCCCCTGTGTAGTCTGAACAGAGTATCAGTGTTCATTTTTGCTTTTGTATTCTTTTCTATTAAAATTAACAACTGTCTGCTTTCTTGGAATTACTTAATTTCTTCCTTCTCTTTATTATGCCACCTTTTGAAAACTCTTAAACTTCTACCTATACTCTCTTTTTAAGTTTTCATATTTTTAGTATAAAGTTAATCTGCAAGAATACCAAACAAATAATAAAATAGTATTGGAAAATATGAATAATTAAGGCATATTAATTATCTTCTTGAGGTAGTAAAATGTTATAAAACTATTAAAATATGTTATTAAAACAATTAAAATGGCATCACACTGGTGTCAGATCAGATTGTCAGAACAATAGTGTAATTCAATAGATAACAAAGAAACAAGACCCCTTATATATAAGAATTTAACAGAATAAATAATTATAAGTTCATGAAGAGGGAAGAGATTAATATGTGGTTTGGGAAGACTAGCTAAGGCAGGGGAAGATGGGTGGATGGGAGGTTAAGAGGTCAACCAAAGGACTTATATGCATGCATATAAGCATAACCACTGGACACAGACAATACATGTGTGAAGGCCTGTCCTGGGGTGTGGGGACAGGCTGGGAAAGAGAGACATATGTAATACTTTGAACAATAAATAATTTTTTAAAAGTTATAAATTGCCCTTAAACAAATACACAAATGATTTCTCAATATAAATAAATAAAAGTGGGTACCTTTTTTTTTTTTTTTTAACATAGTGGTTCTGAAACTTTTGGTCTCGGGGTCTCTTTATACTTTTCAAATTTATTGATGATCCCAAATAGCTTTTGTCTGTGTGAGTTATGTATATTTACAGTATTAGAAACCAAAGCTGAGAAATTGTTATAGGATATATTTAGTAATTCATTTAAAAAGAACAAGAAACTCTATTACTTGTTAAATTAATAGCCCAGTTTTAAGGATCGTACTTTCCAAAATAAAAAGTGAAGAGTAGCATGGTTTTTAAATTTTTGTAAATCTGATGTCTTGCTCATAGAAGATATCTGAATTCCAATGTATGTGTCCACAATCAGTCTATTGTGATGTATTGTTTTCATTGACGGAAATGAAGAAAATCCAGCCTCACATTGACATGTAGCCAAAAAAGGAGTGTTTTAGTAGCCTTTTCAAATATGTGTGGCTGTTCTTTGATACAACACTAAAACTCAGTGGTATTTTCTTATAAGTTTGTGGCAATCTGAAAATATATCAGTGAATTTTGGTAGTAAATTATGTTAAAATCCACTGGTGTATCCTGTACTTAGAGTGAGTATTTTTACTCAGGAGTGATGTTTGACCTGGCAGATGCTCTGGAAAGGTCTTGGGGACTCCTAGAAATCCCTAACCCACCTTTGAAAGTCACTGTTGTAGAGAAAGCCAATATTGTAGCCACTATTATAAATTTAGGATTAATCGGTGAAATTACAAAGCAGATGAACAGGTTTGAATGTACCATATTAAAAATTGACATGTCTTATTTTGTAAAGTATAATCCAGACTAAATGTAAACCAAAAATTAAGAATAAATAGCAATATATTTGTAACACAAAGGGACATAATTTTAATATATAAAGAATTTACAGCTCATAAGTAAAGCACTAGGGTTACCTAGATTAATGCACAAAAGTTTATAGAAGAAAACAACATGGAAAATTCTCAACAAAGACATAAACTTTTAGGTGGCAGTCAAAACTTGCCTATTGAAAATGTCAGACTAGCAGATAAGAGGGTAATGAAATTGACATGTTCATGTTGTAGTTAGAGATATTTTATTTTTTACAAAATTTGAGGAAGCAATTAAGCAACAGGTATTAATAGCCTTAAAATATTCATGTCCTGTGTCTTCTGAATATCTCTGTTAAACGATTTTGTATGAAAAATGCTTTTAGGAAGAAGGCTCTAGTGATGGCATTTATACTAGGAAAAACATTAGAAAAGGATCAGATTAATTATTATTTAATCTAGCCAATGAAAGATTAAACAGCGATTGGAGAGAGAATTATTCACAATGACTACACAATAAGAAGAAATAAATAGTCTTTAACTTTTAAAGTGCTAAGAGCTAAGCTCCTGGCCAAGAGCTAGGAGGGAAACCAGGTGCTCTGGACCTTCTCCTGCTGATGCTTTGTCTTTATAGGACTCCTCCCTTCTCTTCCATATTCTGCATTCTTTGCACCCACTTTGCTCTCAGAATTCTTCTTGAGGATATAGCAGAGAGCCCTTCCTTCTCGTTCCTCTCCAGACTAGAAGCTCATTTGGCCTCATAGCATCCCTATATGGTGGGCTGGCCAGGTTCCATTCTGTCTATCTGAGAGATGCCGTTATCATTGCACCAAGTTGTGACTTCTCTTTGCTAGTGGTCTGTGTCCCAGTTGTTACTGTTTTATCTCCCTCTTGATCTGTCTCTTCATCCATCCTGCAAATAACTGCAGGGCCTGTTTACACTGGGCATGTTGATATCTGTTCTCTCAGAAGGTTCCTTTGATACAACCAGCTCGCGCATCCCTTTATGCCATTTGTCAGCCTGGCATTTGCTGCTCCAAGAGGCATGTCTTTTTGGTCTCCTCCCTGTTGCTGATGTTAATGGTGTTATCCAGGCCCCCTTTGACATCTTTCTTTATTAGCTGGCTTTGTGGGCCTCAGCAGTCAGCAGCCTCCAAGTCATAATCACAGGTCAACTGTCTCTAAAGAGGACTGCTTGGTGGGAAGGGAAAGGCAGACTGCCTCTAGCCCTGCCCCCAGCTGATTTCAGAGCAGGCATGACCTCTCTAGCTTCAGTTTCTTCAGAGGGAACGAACACAAATTGGGATCTCACCAATCTCTTTCAACTTAAAAAAAAAAAAATGGTTAAGAGGGCACCAGAAAGCCTTGCTCTCTTCCCAGGTTTGGATCTAACTATCCAGCTGTCCGGGCATTGAAATTACAAAACTCAAGCGACATTCAGTTCCCATCAGAGCCAACAGGGGGTTCTCTTGGGCTAAAAACTAATGACCTCTCCCATTACTCAACCTCCTACTACCACAAGGAGACATGTTTTTAATTGTAAGGTATTATTTCTAGATGCATGAGCTTCGTGTTTTGCAAATATCTTGAGGACACCTGAAAATTATGCAGGGTTAAATAGATGTGGCTTCCGATATTTGGTGGTGGGAGTTGCTATTACTAGTAAAACAGCCCCACTCTGTAAAGTTGGAAGCTACCTAGAGATCACACACCATAGGAGAGCTCTTTGCCCTGTGGTTCCTGAGCGTGGTGATGTAAAGGTGATTTTATGAGATGGTTTTACTCCTTGGGATAGCTTATTTAACATGAATGCAGGAGGATTGTGCAGACTCTCCTGTCGAATGAATCCCACTGGTCAGCCCCACAATCATCAAAGCATCCAACACAAAACCATCCAAATAAACGCACCACACTTGCTTCGTCCTGTGTCTTACTAACCAGTTGCCTTCATATTCCTTCTGCTCTAACAGCTGCTGCAAGAATGAAAAAACAAAGAACTCACTGGGCCTGCCCTGACCCCAGAGGCAGGACACCTGCTACCCCTGTCCTTAGTGCTATGACCAATGTCCTATCTCAGAGTTAGGTTTTTCTAGGACACTTGCTGCAAACCTCAGCATTGAACGTCAAAAACTGCATTAGAATGGACCTATACTGGTTTCTGAAATTTTCACATTTATCAAATATTTCCCCTATGTAACTAAATATATATATTCAGTAACTGATCATTGGAATTAGAAATCAGTGCCCAAATGGTGTGGCTCAGTGGCTGAGTGTTGACCCCTGAACCCAGAGATAACTGCTTCAATTCCCAGTCAGGGCACATGCCCAGGTTGCAGGCTCAGTCCCCAGTGGGGATGTGCAGGAGGCAGAAATGATGTTTCTTTATCATGGATGTTTCTATTCTCTATCCCTCTCCCTTTCTCTCTCTTAAAAAAAATCTTTAAAAGTTTTTTTTAAAAATAAGAATATTTAAAAAATAAGAATTATAAATTAGTCATCTCCCAAGTTGGAAAATAAAATTGTCTACCCAGGAAAGAGTTAAAGTTTATCACCATTAATTATAAAATGCATGTGCCTTCACCACAATATAGTCATAGCATTGTTTTTAATGACCCAAACACTTTTTAACAGAATTCAAAAAAATAAATTGGAATCAATTTTTCTATCGTAGGATTTCACCGTTCCTTCTGGTGACCTGTTGATGTTGTCTCCATTTTGGCTACATAGAAATCCAAAGTATTTTCCTGAACCGGAACTGTTCAAACCTGTAAGTTACTTTTTTTCAACAAACATCGTTCTTTTTGTTTTAATTTATTTTTGTGCCAGGAGTATGTATTCATAAACTAACTAGGACTGTGTCATTAAGCTGCATATTACTCTAGTAACAAAGGTGAAAATACAGATTAGATTTGCAATATGGCATAACATGTATAACAAATCAGATAGGCAAGTTCCTGGAATAAGCTTCAGCAACTTTACAATAAATTTTTATCTGAAACAAGCAGAGCATGTTAGAGTAAACATGCCTAGTTCCGACAGAAGACTGAGTTTATGTTTTTCAGACAATTATTCTCATTATTGGTTTCCGAGGAGCCCCAAAAATAAAAATGAAGCAAATTAAAACTATGTTCTGCTGTTTCTTAGAATTGGGGGAGTGTCTGGGCTGAACAGCATCTTAAGAGGCCATTTGATCTATTCTCTGCCTTCAGGTGAAACTGTCAAAAATGGCATCCAGATGTATCCGTTCTGCATCCAGGCTCCCTCCAACAGGGCTGTCAGCAGCTGTCTGTTACTAAATTTATCACCAAGAGCAGTTTCAGGATGGAGCCTGAGGCCCCGTTGTAAATACTCTTCCTCTCTGGAGTCTGTCCTGGGGTTGATTTACATCATCATCTACATTTGCCACTTAACAGAATTCTTCTTAAACCCTTTTATTTATTAGTTATGTTCCAAAAGCGTAATCGTGGCTGATATTAATAACAGGTCGGAAAAAATGACCAACAAGCCTGCAACTTTATATGCAAGGATTAGCTGTACAAGGTCATTTTTAGCCTAGAGAAATAAAGTTAAGCTTATTTATATAAGGCTGATTTGGGGGGAAAAATGTTTTCTTCCCACAGGAACGTTGGAAAGAGGCAAATTTAGAGAAGCATGCTTTCTTGGACGGCTTCGTGGCCTTTGGAAGTGGGAAGTACCAGTGTCCAGGAAGGTCAGTGAGACAGCTGGGCCACGCTCATCCACAGTCTGCGGGGAGATGAGGGAGATGCTGGCGCTGAATCGGGGAGCTCTGGCTCAGTCTGTCTTTTCTTTATTATCAAACTACAGGGCAAGCCAGAGACTGTGTTTTGTTTGGTTGGCCATCTTGTGGGATGTCTTTGTGGGAATGTCTAAAGTGGCTTCTGATAGGAGAACAAAGTATTCCAGTTTCAGCTACCAGAGGCGCTCAAGGTTTATGTTTCAGATGCTCAGCTCTCATAGAAGAATAACTCAAAAGGCATTTGAGTTTCACCTTTTTAAAAGATAAAACTAGAGGTATAATGATTCTCTATTTTTAAATATATTTTTTTGATTTCATACAGGAAGGGAGAGGGAGAGAGAGGTGGAAATATTAGTGATGAGAGAATTACTGACCAGCTGCCTCCTGCATGCCCCACAATGGGGACTGAGACTGTAACAGGGCATGTGCCCTGACCAGTAATTGAACCATGACCTCCTGGTTCATAGGTTGCTGCTCAATCACTCAGCCATGCCTGCTGGGCAGGTGTAATATTTCTTTAACAACAGCCTTTTCGGAGACATTTGTTCAGAGTCCAGAATGTCATTAGCATGGAGCATAGCAGCAGCTTACTAAATGGCTTTTATTTAGTGGGTTAGTTTGGTTCTATCAAAAAAAATTTTGACACCTTTGGTAGTTAAATTAATCTGGCACCTAGTACTTCTCTGTAGTGTGATGCCCTGTTCTGGGGCAGGTGTTTATCATTTAATGAAAGATATCTAATATTTATGTGTTTAAGCAGACACTTTAACATCTCGCCTGTTCCAGGCCCTCTTCTAAGCCTCAGTGACAGAGCAGTGGGGAAGGCAGACATGGTCCCTGGCCTCGTAAAACTTGCACTCTGCCTTAAACAAGCCCCACTTCGTTGCTGCTGATTCTGGTAGGGGGTTATTGGTACCATTCTATTAGAGGATTATTGGCACCCGTTTGGAACAGAATCTCACTCAGTGGATGTACAGAGCCTTTAAAAATTGCATATCAGAAAATTTTTAGTTTCTTAACTTAAGAAGTCAGTTGTCTTTCTTGTTTGAACAGTAATGTCCGTCCATATTTGCAATTATGACTTTCTCCACAGCATCCGCTCTACCCCTCCTTTGGTTCATGTTTATCAATATGCTTTTAGTAATATACACCTCCCCCAAATGGTTTTAGTTAGTCTCAGCCAGCCATGATCATTCTTTCTCCCTTTTTAGAAGTTCTTCTAGGAGCCTAATGGTAAGCAAATTGTTACATAGTGTTTCCCTGGAGACACTATTTGGGTGGGCAGTTGACCTGAACTGGCCGATCAGATTGAAAGGAGAGACTTTTCTTCCATGGTGAGGAGAGAGGCCTACTTTGTCCTTTCCCTTCGGATGTGAACAGGAAGCATGTAGCCCAGTTGTTATTAGCAGCAGATTCAAGTGGAACAGCCTGATGATGGTGTGGAGTCTATGGAGTGAAGGACAGAGATATATAGAGAAGCTGGTCTATGTGATATTATTGTCACTGAACCAACAGTTTTGAGGAGTTCATCTATTTCCTGTCATGCTAGATAATAAATGTTTTCACTCTTATAAATAACTAGAGGCTCAGTGCATGAAAATTCATGCACTAGAGCAGGGGGTCCCTCAGCCTGGTCTGCCCCCTCTCACAGTCCGGGGAGCCCTCAGGGGCTGTAGGCAATCTGACAATCAGGGGAAGGCAACACCCCATCACACCTCTACTGCCATTGCCAACAGCACAAGCCTCATCTGGCCCTGGTTACCTGAGCCTCGGGCAGCCCTGGGGGCTGGGCAGTTGCCATCCGAGGCTTGCCTGTACCTCGGGCCAGCCCTGGGCAGCTGGGCAGCCACCATCTAAGGCAGGTATGTGGAGTGGCCAGGCTCACCTAGGGGCAGGCCTGGCCTTGCTGCACACCTGCTATCCTGGTGGGACGGAGGGGACAGGGCGCTTCCATGTTGTGTCTGTGAGTGCTGCCATCTTTGGGGATAGGGCAGTCAATTAGCATATTCCCTTCTTATTGGCTGTGGATGCCACCATTTTGCAAGTGCATGAGGATTAATTAGCATATTCCCTCAATATTAGATAGGATAATAATAAAATGATATATTTATTACATATAATCAATGTTCATGATTTTTAAGGCAGTTGAGTTGAAGGTCTTATTGTTTATAGCTGAAAGCATGCTGACATATTCACCAGAAAACTTCCAAGGTGAACACTGTAATTGAGTATCCAATACGTTAGGAGCAGAGTAGGACAAAGGAAAACAACAGTAATAGCAACACACACACACACACACACACACACCTGCTTCTTATATTATTTTTATTTATTTTCATTTTTTTATTAAGGTATTATATGTGTACATATCTTACCATTGCCACCCCCCACTATTATTTTTATTTTAGATAAGCAGTTCTTAAGCCAAGAACACATTTATTGTTTTTGTCACTGTTAAGTAACATTTTTGTAAGAGTAGATCTTCTAAAAAGAATATTATCTTTTTAATGTTCCTTTAGTATATATCTTCAATTGCAATGAAATAGTTTATTATAACCATCTTTGAAGCTGACCTAGAAATATTTTAAACTGAGGTATGAAATGCGTGACAATAGAGCATGTAGTATGGGCCAGTGGTCAATCAATGACTATTGTTTTTAAGAGGAGCTGTTAGGACATTAGTGTAATATCTGTTGAGGCTGATAGACATTTGCTTGGGTTTGAGAGTAATGGATATCATGCAGAGAATCATGAAATTTCAACTCAATCAGTAGTATGTTATATAGAAACTGTAGAAATTTTGCACTAGAAATGATTTAAATATGTTTTTATTGATTTGAGAGAGAGAGAAAAAAAAACACATCCATGTAGAGAGAAACATCCATCAGTTGCCTCCCTCATGCTCCCCAACCTGGGATTGAATCCACAACCTGGGCATATGCCCTGACCAGGAATCAAACCAGCAACCTTTTGGTGCATGGGAGGACACTTGACCAATTGAGTCATACCATCCAGGTCTGTGATAGAAATTTAATCCCATAAACACTTAGTATAATCCCCAGAAAATCGTGCCCATTCTTAGTTTGTGTATCAGGAGCCAATTTACTTTCTCATGTACCAAATACGCAGTGAGTCAGAGAAAGTTGCCTGTAAAGTTTCTGACAATCAAAGTTCATCAGGAACAGTCTTGTGGCCTTGCAGCTGTCACCCTTGGGAGTCCAGGCTGCTGAGATCGCAGGAGACCTCCTCACACAAGTGAACACAGAATATTTTGATGAATTTACCAAGCAAGTACTCAGTGCTGCCATCAACTGCCAGAGAAACATTGAAATGGAAGAACTGTAGTACCTACTCCAAATAGTCGGAGTTCTGAAATGCATTTGGAGGAAGAACCCTTTGCTGGGCACTTTCCTGAAGCTGGGTACACACAGCAAGGGAACCCTTCCTAGTAATTCTAATGCTGGAGAAGAGCAGGAGAAAGCAGCATGAACTCCCAGACTTCAGCATTGGTAACATGCAAAATGAAGAGCCCCACTACAATGGACATTCTCCTCCTAAACTGTCCATCTAAATGGAGAAACAGGACAAGGGAATTTTAGTGTCATGTGGGTGTCTCTGAGAGTAGATGATCTTGGCAGAAAGGGATGTGCTTGCTAGACTCAATCTCTGGAACACCAAGCCAGCAGCCTTGATTTTCCCTGGTTCCCATCCATGCATGAGGATGCCTGGGTGGCTGTCTCATTGTGCTAATTGATAGGCAAAACACAATATGCCTGTAGTGCTGATTCCACCCCCAACTCTGTCCCTGGGGAGTACAATTCCCTAAGCCAATCCTCACTTCCTATCCCTGGTTCCTCCCTCCCTCCCCATATGGATTGGTTTAGGTGTTAGCATGTGTTTTAAGCAGCACAATGAACTATTGAAGTTTCTTTTGGGACTTATAGGTCAAAAATAACCAACCATTCCCTGATGGATGTTAATAAGGAAGGACTTGATCTTAGAAATCCATGGCAGCTATTTGAGACTCAGAAGGAGGCATTGTTGGAATGAAGCTGGTACCATAGAACAGTGTGGCGGCGGCGGCCTGGCTTCCCGGGAACGTGGCTGCCACAGTGGTCTCTGCCAGAAGCTAGCCCCCACTCCATGCTTTTCAGATCCATAACGCCATGCATTCCCCTCAGTACAGAAACCAGCCCAATGTGTTTTTTTCTGTCACGTGCAACTGAGAGCATCCGAAGTAATATAATTTTCTTTTAAAGAAAAAAAATTAAAAATTTATCAAACTCCATGAAATCATAAACATATACTAACCACATCAGTTAATAGCTTTCTAAATACCTTGTGCTTTGTAAAAGGGCTGAATTTCATTTACCTTGGGTATATCACAAAGCAAAAGTAAATGCCACTTCTTAAATTTTTCTTAGAAGGTCTGAGATTTAACATATATTAAGAGATGATTTTTTAAAATATATTTTATTGAGTTTTCACAGAGAGGAAGAGAGAGGGATAGAGAGTTAGAAACATCAATGAGAATCATTGATCAGCTGCCTCTTGCACACCCTCTACTGGGGATGTGCCCACAAACAAGGTACATGCCCTTGACTGGAATTGAACCCGGGACCTTTCAGTCCACAGGCTGACACTCTATCCATTGAGCCAAACCAGTTTCGGCAAGATGATTTCTTTTGATCTTAAGTCAATACTGGTCCTTTGATGACTCCTCCTCCTCCTCCTCCTCCTCCTCCTCCTCCTCCTCCTTCTCCTTCTCCTTCTCCTTCTCCTTCTCCTTCTCCTTCTCCTTCTCCTTCTCCTTCTCCTTCTCCTTCTCCTTCTCCTTCTCCTTCTCCTTCTCCTTCTCCTTCTCCTTCTCCTTCTCCTTCTCCTTCTCCTTCTCCTTCTCCTTCTCCTTCTCCTTCTCCTTCTCCTTCTCCTTCTCCTTCTCCTTCTCCTTC